ATACTGATAGGATCACAACACATTTTAGCTAATCACTTAGTCACAATGAAAAGTAAATGAAAACTTGAAGGATACTCATCACAATATAGATTAGAAGCATTGTTTTATTCCTACAGTTCCTACTTTATGACCAGATGAAAAAATGTAAAAAGACTACTTAGAAAGCATTAAGAAAAAACCACAAAGTATCTTTGATATTAAATAAATTCACTATAAAATTGTGTTTACAAAAATATAATAATAATAATAATACACAATACTTAGCTCTTTTTCACAAAGTGCTAAAAATGTCTCCCCAAGGATCTCCTAGCCCCTTCACGACTCTCCTCATGTCTCTCCTCACTTTAAAATTGAAACACTCTCTAAATCCTTCACGAATGATCTTAGGAGCCGAAAAAACTGGCGCCAAGGCGTTAGTCTAGTGGTGCCTTGGCCTCCACTGGTTGGCGCTTAGACGCCAGCTTCTCGTCTTCCCACTGTGGGACTGGTGTCTAGGTGCTTAAAAAATCTGGCACCAAGGCGCCAGTTACTTGGGTCCTTCTTAGCTCCAAGTCACCTCTACTTTGCTCCACTTTTAATACTTGTTATACCTACAATAAAAATTTAAAAATACATTTCTTTAAAGTACAATTTTATTCTTAAAGATATGAAAAATGTAAGAAAAATTAAGCATTTTTTTCTACACTTTATGAACATTCATTCTATGTAGTTGTGAAATATTAAACATTTAGATCCATATTTATTTAACTAAATTTGGTCTCATGGTTTATTCTTTTTGGTGATTTATTTTTATGATTGTGATGATAAATTAGAAAGTTATTACAATGCTCGTATTCGTTATGTGAAATATCTAATTGTTATTTTATAGTTTTTATTTCTCACTGGTTTATGTTTGAATAATGTTGGAATAGCATCAGAAAATCAGACACAAACCTGTAATTACCTAATCGATATATGATGATGCAATTCCAATGCAGGCAAATTTGTGTTGGACTTAAGTTGACACAAATTTGTGTCATCATGTAGCGGATGAAAAAACAAATGCTAATGTTGTGTCAGTCAGTTATCTGACAAAAAATAACCATGGAGATTATGGAGGCTAGCTAAATCCGACTGAAAAAAAAATTTTTGACGCAAATATTGATGCTACTTAATTAAATGATGCTCATTTTAACGATAGTTTGTTTCCTGATGCAAATTTGACGCTAGTAGCGGTTTGTGCCAGATTTATCATTCATTATCATTGGAATGGGCCAAAGCTAAACATTCAGTATCATTCATTATAGTTCCTGTATTATAAATGAAAGAAGGAAATGAACTGTTGTTTAACACATAAGATAGATCAAATGAGGAATTATAACAAATTTTTATATTTAAATAACTCCATTGAAAAAATTTTCATTATAAATGAAATAATTTAAATAAATAATTTATGAGGAAGATTTGCACATAAATAATATTATGGGTTAAAATGAACATGTTGGTTGAAAATAGTCATTTTATAAATATTGTTGGTTTCTTGAAATGAGAAAGAGGAGAAAAACTAAGACTTCTTGTTGTAGATTGAAGGGAAATCAGAACCACACCTTTTGTGTAGCTTTGAAAACTTTTAAACTTGGAGCTAATAACAAACTTCCAAGAAAAGACCTAAAAATCAGCCAAGAAAGAAACAAGAAATAAAATTCGAGAGAAAATAGCAACTAACTCCTAAGATTAATGAACAAACTAAATTCAAATAAACCTAGACTCAATAAGCAGTCCTAAGCATGTATTCCAACACTCCTCCTTGCTTTAGGATCTGCGAACACCAAGTTTCTGCCTTCGAAACTCAAACATGCTGATTGGAAGTGACTTTGTAAGCAAATCTGCCAACTGATCTTCAGATTTGCAGTAAACCCGAGTCACAAATTCTTCTTTTTGCACTTCTCTTAGAAAAAATAACTTGATGTTGAAATGCTTAGTGTTCCCATGAAACATAGGGTTATGAGAAATGGCAACGGTACAAATATCAACACCATTGGTAGTCAATTGCATGTTGTCACCAAAATCCCGAATGAGTTTTGAATCACTTAAGCAACCTTTATCGACATCATCTTCTAAGTTCGGGTGTTTCGTCATTGACACCGTTTTGATGAAGCCTGAGCTTGACTCGTGTTCTCTTCCAACACTTGTTTTGCGGAACTTTTTTGCCTTTGAACTTGAGATTGCAAAGCAGTCACAAATGTTAATAGATCCTCTTTTTCTTTTGCAGCAAACAATACTTTTTCAGCGACATCTTTTAATTGAGTTTTTGCATCTGCCTGTGAAACTCTGGGCTTTCTTCAACTCGAACTAAAACTGCTTCTATTACTCTAGCTTTTGCGAGTTTAGAACGCCAAAAATGTGCCTCTTGAAGAGTAAAGTCTCTTTGCTTGAACATGATCTCTCTATCTCTACTAAATGTTGCAACCTTTTCTTTTAATTCTCTTAACTTAAGGATGGTTTCTTGAAGTCTTTTTTTTTGAATCACTGGTCAGTAGTTCAATGTCTATGTAAGTAAGCATCCTCTCTTCATCCATAGCAAGAGCTTCAGAAGCAGCTACTTCAGGAGCCTGAGTTGTCTCAGTTAACTTGTCTGCTAACTCATGTATGGTTGAATCTCTTGCACGTAATTCTTTGGCCTATTGCTGAAGTTCTTCATCATTAACTTGAAGTGTTTCCTTCATTATCGTAAGATCATCTCAATGGCCTTCATTACCCTCATTAATCAATGAAACTTCTAGTGAGTGGGCATGGTTTACAAAACTTTTATTGGGAAAAGAGCCAAGAACCTCCTGCTCCGCTAGCATTGGATTGAGTGAAAAACTACTCTTTACCATCTTAACTTCAAACATCATTTGGCATGTAGCATCTTCTGTTACGCAAGCCTTCTCCATAAACATCTCTTTGAATCCCTTTTCTATTAATTAACCAACACTGAGCAAGTCTTCATCAATATCTGGTACATAGAGAACATCGATGATCAACGTACATAGAGAACATCGATAATCAACTTGGTTCTTGACCAGCTTGCAATGGCTATGGTGTCCTTTCCTTTGACTGTTGACTAGCTTGCAATGGCTATGGTGTCCTTTCCTTTGACTGCAATATATTCACCATTCCCAATTCTGAACTTCTTGGACTCGGTGCTCTTCAATTCCTTGAATAATTCCTTATCATGTGTCATATGATTAGTGCGGCCACTATCAATGAGCTAGTTTTCACTTATTTCAGGACTCGTGAAATAAGTTACAACGAAAAGTTGGTCATCTTTTTCTTGATCTGCCACTTGAGCTTCATCTCCTTGCTGCTGATCTTTATTCTTGCAAAGGATAGCTTCATGTCCTATTTGATTGCACTTGTTGCACTTTGCATCTGGTCTTCTCCAACATTTGAAAGGCGGATGACCTTTCTCGCCATAATGTCGACATGGAGGGTAATCTTTCTTTTGTCCACTTGTAGATTAAAACTTCTTGTTCTTGGACCTCCTATTCTTTTCATCATCTTGATGCTTGACTGGAAGAGCTCCTTCGACGACTCCTTCTTGCCTCATTACACGACTCTGCTCTTGTGTTTGTAAAGCACTTAAGAGTTCTGTCAAAGCAATCTTTGAAAGATCCTTCATGTTTTTTGAGGTGGTGATGGTAGCCTCAAATCTTTCAGGCACTGTTACAAGGATTTGTAAGCAATCCTTGAATCTTCCAGAGAAGAACCCAGTAATTTGACAGAATTTGCAATGTTGAGTAGTCTGTCGAAGTACACCTTTATGGTTCCTGTCTCTCTCATCTTTTGCAATTCAAAGTCACAAACCAAGTTTAGCACCTGCATCCCTCGAATTCTTTCATCTCCTTCATACTAGATTTGAGATAATCCCAAATCCCCTTTGTCGTTTTCAACGACATGATACGAGTGAAGATCTTGGAGGAAACTGCAGCAAACAGACAAGCTTTTGCCTTGGACTTCTTTGTCTTCATCTAATTTTATGCTTTAATTTGAGCTACGGTGGGATTTTCAGGGAGAAGAAGAATATCATAGTCTTCTTCCACTGCTTCCCAGAGATCCAAAGCTTCCAGGTATGTCTCCATGCGGACTACCCAGATCTAGTATTTGTCTTCATCAAGCACTAGTGGAGCAACTGAGGAAAAGCTAGCTTCAATCTACATTGTCGTTCAAACTCATGCACAGGTCCCTTAAGAAGAGAGCTCTGATACAAAATTGTTGGTTTCTTGAAATTAGAAAGAGGAGAAAAACTACATCTTCTTGCTATAGGTTGAAGGGAAATCAGAACCACACCTTTTGTGTAGTTTTACAATTTTTTAAACTGTTGAAGGGAAATCAAAACCACACCTTTTGTGTAGTTTTACAATTTTTTAAACTTGGAGCTAATAGCAAATTTTCAAGAAAAGACCTAAAAATCAGCCAAAAAAGTAACAAGAAACAAAATTAAAAAAAAAATAGCAACTAACTCCTAAGATTAAGGAACAAACAAAATTCAAATAAACCTAGACTCAATAAGCAGTCCTAAGCATGTATTCCAACAAATATTTTAGAGAAAATATCACAAATCAATTAGTTAAGAAAATTTAACCAAATTCAATTTGTGTTTTTTCCGCTTCTTTCCAACGCCAAAATTAGAAGGCAACCAAACCTGTGAAAAAATAACCAATGTATGTTAAGTATATAATATCATTGTGGTTTGAATAAAACTCTAATTTAAACAATGTTATTGGCACTAGTTCAAATCATTCCAAAACCAGATCCAAGAAAAAGACTTTACATTCCAAACTCTATTGCCCTTGAAAGATAGAATTCATCCATGTTTGACATACATTCTGATTTAACCAATTATTTGCTAGCGTTATGAGGTTTTTCTACTGAGAATAATGATTAATTATAACAACAACAAAAAATGGGGACTAGTGAATTTAACTTCACAAAGAACCTGGAGGTAAGAATTTTGGTGTCGAGCAAGAGACATCAATAAGTGGTTAGAGCTAAAGCTAAGGGTTGACAGTTTTGGCAACAATCTAAGACCTAGGATTGTGAGGAGGGGGAAATGACAACATGGTTTAATATAGATTTTCGTAAAAGGCTAATGAATCTGCGTAGATAGATGTATTTCCAATGATAAAACTAGTTGTAATACAAGTAGTTAAAGTTGAAGGTAATTCACTAGTATGGGGGAGCATTTTGTCGTTTTGGATCGATCTATTTTCAATTTCGCCAAACGAAATAGAACTAAAATTTGATGTAAAAAATTGAATCAATCAAAAGTCTGATAAAATTGAACTGGCCAAACCGAAATTTAATTTTATTTAAAAGATAATGTTATGAACAAACTGGATTTTCAGTTTTACCTAGTGTTTGGTTAAGAACAAACATCAAGGATAATATATCTATCATGTATAATTCAATTTGATTCCATGAATCCTCCCTCCTTCTAATTTCAAAGTTTATTTTTTTCAGTTATTTGATTTTTTCAGTTAAATAAAAATTAAAATTGAACCAATAATAAAAAAACTGGATAATGAGGTTCTAAAACTAGAATAAAAAAAATACAATTTCAGACCAAACCAATTCAATCAAAATTATTCCGTTCAGTTGGGGAATACAATTTTGAACAAATAAGACACACGCCCCTATTCACCACTGATGTAAACTGCTACAAAGGGGTACCAGTTGGAGCAGTATAAAAACTGCTGCCAACAAAAGTTGCCCTCCATGCTGAATTTCGATAGTGAGAAATTACTTTAAGATATATATCTACTGTGAGGTCAAATAAAATTATTAAGATACAAAATACGTAATACTATTTATTATTTTTTCAAGGCTAAAGAACTTGAACCCAAAATCAATAAAAACAACTATTATTTCATGGCAGTTCTTTAAGAGACAATATGCAAATGAAGATATTAGAAAGCCAGTTTCTCATCTAATGCAGTTGCGTTACAATAAACATGATACACTTAAATTCACTCCAAAGAAAGAAGACGATGGACATAAACATTTAACATTTTTATTCGAGCAATACATAACTGACCGTTAAAAAAGGAACAGTGGTTTGCCAGTAAATTAAATTTTTTGTGATTTTGGATGAGCTAAAGCATTACTCCTAGCTCCAGAAATTGGAAAGCAAGGTTTTGCTAATAAATAAAGAGGCGACTTCCTTCTCACTGCAACTCCAAAAGCTTCGCTCATGTCAAGCTCCTCTCCATTCTTAGCCACATACTCCCAATCAAAATAATATAACAAGTATGCGAGCGTCATTTCAACCATCGCCGACGCAAAATGCATCCCGGGACAAATTCTCCTCCCAGCACCAAAGGGTATCATTTCAAAGTGAGCTCCCTTCATGTCAGACTGGTTCTCCTCGAACCTCTCCGGCCTAAAGAGCTCCGGCTCGTCCCAGTATTTAGAATTCCTCCCTATGGCCCACGCGTTCACCATCACCGTTGTCCTTGCAGCAATGTCATACCCCATCACCTTGCATCTATCTTTGTTCTCCCTTGGCAGCAGCAAGGGCACTGGAGTGTGCAGCCGCAATGTCTCCTTTATCACCAGCTGCAAGTAGTTAAGTCTACCGCTCATCAACTTCTCTTCTCCAATTATCTGAGTCGGGCCGTCGCCGAACGCCTCTCTCACCTCTCTCTGCGCCTTCTTCATGACCGTTGGGTTCCGAACAAGCTCCGAAATTGCCCATTCCAAGGTAGTTGCGGTTGTCTCGCTTCCGGCCATAAGAATATCCTAATTAAAAAAGGAGGTTTTATCAGCTAACCATTCAATAATTGATGAATATTTAATTTTTATTATTACACCGATTATTTAATTAATGCGAGCTCACGTTAATGACAGCCTTGATGTGGTCGTTTAAGAGATTACACCGCACGTTAATGACAGCCTTGATGTGGTCGTTTAAGAGCGGAAACTGGAGGTTGCCATCCTGCTGGATTCTGAGAAGCACGTCAGTGAGATCCTCCGCATCCACGGACTTTTGAGCCCTCTTCTCAATGTGCTCTTGCAGTATTTTCTCTATTATTCGGTCCAACTTCAACCTGCAGCGCTCTAGCTTCTGTCGAAAGCCAGCGATGCTTTTGATGAAGTCGGGCATCGAAGGGAATAGATCGATCAGGGAGAAACCGGAGTTCAGTTCTATAACTTCTTTGAGCGCCGCTAAGTACAACTTCTGGTCCTCGCACCGACTGCCAACAACTAGGATTGCCATGATGTTGTTGCTGAGGTTGGCGAACTCCCTGCTTAGGTTGATGTCAACGCCGGCGGACGATGCTGCATTAATGGATTGAAGTAGATGGGAGACCTCCTGCTCTATTATGGCGCGAAAGGAGCGAACACGCTTCGAGCTGAGCAGCTCCATGGTGCAGATTCGTCGCATCTGGCGCCAAAACTCGCCATATGAAGCAAAGATGAGACCTTTGCCACCGTAGAAGAGAACGTCGATGCTGGGGGAGACGGGCCGCGATGCGAACATGATGTCGTGGGTCTGCATGATCTCTTTGGCCGCTTCGGCAGAGGAAATGATGATGGTGTGGATCTCGCCTAGTTTTAGGCGCATAATGGGGCCGTAGATGAGGGAGAGGTCGCGGAGAGCGCAATGGGGAAGGCGGCCGGCGAGGAGATGGTGCATGCAGCCAATTATGGGGAGGTTTCTAGGGCCTGGGGGTTGATAGTTGGGTTGGAGTTGGCGGTGATAAAGCTTTCTGATTATTATCTTGATAAGGAGGAGTGCCAAGAATATGAAGATGGAAGTTTTGATAAGCTCCATGCTTGAAACGATAACTGGACTACTTACTACTGTTCTGATCAAGCATGTAGTGAGACTCGTATTTAAAGAGGTTTTTGGAAGGACGCTAACAAAGTTATGGTAAAAATAACAGTTTTGTCGGTTATAACTTTTTTTAAATAAGAAGTTTTTATAAGAAGATATGATAATATCGTATCCTGTTTTGACCTTTTTTTAAATAAGAAGATATGATAATATCGTATCCTGTTTTGACCGTTAAACATACCAAACAAATATATTATAAGAAGAGAGAGAGAGAAAGATGCATAAGCACACTACAAGAAAAACAGTTAAAAATGACTGAATAACTCATGATTTTGTTTGTATTGAAAATGTCAAGCTAATTAAGAAAGCATAGCAACGGTAAATTATTTAGAATATTTGGGACTGCATAATCACTGATTAAACCATCGTTTTTCTAAAGTACAAAATTCCGACCAATTTTTCGGAGTTACCGACACTTTATATGATCAGTTCTAGAACGAATGATAACTGACCGATATAGTGCGCCGGTTATATGAGAAACTGACATATATTTTTAGTAGAAGAAGGCAAAAAAAAAGACTTTTTCAGTCAATTTTGATGTAATAAATCGAAGGCTATTAAGCCGTTTATTTGTCGTTGGTAATTAATCTACTATTATACTCGCTACCAAAAATCTTTATTTCCCCCCACATTCCCGCTATTGGTTTCTTTTGATACCTTCTTCCTCCCTCGAAAGTCTCGCAGCTCTTTCGCACCCTCTTTGTTTCATAAAACCATCGTCTCCGTGAATGAACCCTCACCATACAGACACAATTGGAGCTAGCCGAGATCGTTGGTGGGAACATAACAAAGGGATCGCAGCTTGCAGAGACCCAAAACTCCCATTGTCTTCTTCTTTCTCTAGTCTCTTACCCAAAACAATTGTGCAAGGTAATTTCATGTCATCTTTTTCATGGAAGACATATTGATTCATGGAATTTAGTAAATCCAGAATTTAAAGCCTAAATCGGTGAAATTTTGATTTATCAAATCGAAGGCTTTATTTTGAACAAAATGACAATTTGGCAAGGTTATTGTTAAATCCACCATGTATCCTGCTATAAGGGGGTGTTTGGCTACGAAACATTTAGCATTAGTAGGATTTAGTAAATGCCTATGATGCTGGTTTATTGCTCGTTATGTTTCTGTTTGGCTCACACTTTTCAGAAGTAAAATACTTTTACCAATTCTCTCTTCAAATCGAAGGCTTTATTTTGAACAAAATGATAATTTGGCAAGGTTATTGTTAAATCCACCTTATATCCTGCTATAAGGGGGTGTTTGGCTACGAAAGATTTAGCATTAGTAGGATTTAGTAAATGCCTATGATGCTGGTTTATTGCTCGTTATGTTTCTGTTTGGCTCACACTTTTCAGAAGTAAAATACTTTTACCAATTCTCTCTTTGCTCCTTACCATAGATTAGGTGTTCGGCTACAGACTCCCTCTTTGCTTGCTCAAACACATGCTGAAAATCACTCGATTGGTTGTATGGTTACATTAGGCTTCCAAAAAAATTAAGGGGCATGTACGTAAATTAGAAACGATTTTTATATATTTAGATAGTTCACCCTTATACTTTTTTATTTACACACATAGTACTTAAAACTTTAACATCACGTCAAAAATAACACAATTATATCTTTTTAAAAATTAAATGCATATTTGGATGCATGTTTAAATCACCAAAGTGATATGTATGTAAATATTAAAGTTTGGGTGTGAGATATGTAAATATGTAGGAATTGAGTGCTACATATGTAAATTTCCCAAAAAAATAAAGGCATTAACATAATCACCACTCAAATCTTATATATTTACATATCTAGCCCCTAAATGGCGGCACATAGAATTAGGTGGTGCAAAGGGTAGGGATCATACAAAAATATTAAGTTCAATTTTCATGATTTATTATTGAAAACATTAAATGAAAAAGCTCAAATGTCGAACAGTTATTCATAAAAAGTCAGAAATGTCAAATACTCTAAAAAAACTAGTGACATCTTGACAATCCTATTATTTGACATTGTTGATTTTGAAATATAATGTAATTAATTTTTATATAGACATTTTATTGGAAATTAGGACTTACATTACACGATATTTGATTGTGAAAAAGTCTAAAAGCTGAAGATTTATCTCATAATTAACCAGAGGAACAACCACAGAATCCTAAGACTAAGTTGAGGTATGTCCAAAGAGCTAAAACTTTAGAAACTAATCTAAAGAAGAAAAATGCAGCAAATAAAAAAAAATGAACTTACCACCATGCCTATAAAGCGCAGACATTTAAACCACCTAACCGCATTGAAAACATGCATGGTTGGTCTCATGAATGTGTGATAGAATGTATTGTTATTTATTAAGAAAAGTAGGTCATACAAGTTGCTGGTAAAAACTAAAAAGCCTAAGTATGACTGGAATGCGATATATCCTGAAACTATTGCAAGTTTATTTATGAATTTAAAATTTAAATTTATAGCTCACCACATACAAATTTAAATTTTATGGTATGCGTATAGATATATATATATATATATATATATAATTGATGATGAATGCTCATAATATTTAATTATAAGACCAATCGTTAAGTTGAGTTAAACTTACTCTATCATGCAATCCTCGAAGAGCAAATTTTCCCTTTCCGTACAATGGGTGAAGGCTTGAAGGCAATGAATATAATCAATATAAATAGATATGTCTAAAACAATCTTTTTGTTGCTATTCCTAAATTACAAAGAGGTTCTACTATCATTTACTTAATTTTAAATTCATTAGTTTAAATACAAAATATTTTAAGGTGTGAAAGCAGTGTTTTGTTTAACTTTTTATTTTTTATGAGTTTATTAACTTTGAATAATTATTTGGAAATTTTTTTATTTTTGGGTAAAAAATTTGGACGTTAATGAGCCTTCCAGTAATTAAGGTAACAAAAAAAATAACCAACGACCTGAAATTTGGGTAGACCCATTGATTACAAATAAATAAACAAAACAAAACTACAAGACAACAAATGAATGACAAGAGGGCAACCAACCGTAGACATATGTCAGACTCATTGGTCGACTATTTCATCCAAATGTCATTGTTGGTTTAGTTAAGGTTCATTTTTTGCTTCATGTTTATGTTTTCTTAGATAGTTCAAACATTAATAGTTGACCAACTATGCCATCCTACTCCAGAAAACGAAAGACACAGCATGAAAGTAAATTTATATTTACTACAACCACCTAGGTTAACTATAAAGCTTTGTAAAATAGAGTTAGTAAATCCTAAACTTATTACAACCCTTCAAAACAATTTTAGCAAATATGTAAAGGAAACTACAAAGAATTTAATGAAAAAATATTTTACTGTTCTTAAGCAATCATTCTAGCGAGGAAAATATAACCTAACCAAATATTTCTGACGAGCAAACTAGAAAAAGCACAACAAAACACAACGAACTCACCTCAACCAAATCCTTAGACTAGGATTTGTGACCCAATGGAATCTAAAAATAGTGAGTGAACCAAAGCCATGGGAGACAAATTTGGTCTTATCGTTCAAATTATAAAATTTATTATTTTGTTCAAATTTAACGAAGAAAAGCGTATTATTTTGAATTCTTATTAATGTTATTTGAATTATTTTATTATTTGTGTTAAATGCCTTATGCATGCTTACGAGGCATACATACGAATTTAACAATTATTAATAATCAGAGAATACTATAGACCAATTAGTTATAGACCTTATAAAGATAAATATACAAAATTTTGGGAATTTTGATTATTTAGCAAATTTTTTCTTATTTAGATTGGGTTCATTTATATGAATTTTCAGGATTTTTTGTTGTTATTGAATTAAAATTGTCATGAAATTATTTCTAAATGTTGCTATTAAAATCAAAATCATTTTGTAAAAAACATATGAATTTTAAATTCTTTATTGATTTAAAAGTATTATTTAAATTTTAGCGTATTTTTATTCGAAAATTCTTAATAAATCCAAATACCATGTAAAATTCTCAAATTTTTATAGATATACTTGGATTGGGATTTTAAATAAATTCTAAAATTTTCAAGTATATTTAAGTTCATTTTAAATTTATATGAATTATTACATTTATTAATATATTTATTATTTAAAAATTATCACAAAATATTCAAATCAGAATATTTTTATATGTCTTGATTCCTCTCTATTTACATGATTTATTGGTAAAACTTTTACTCATATTGGAGCTTTTGATGAAGTTTTGAGGGCTTGACCAATCCAAGCGTATATTTGTAAATTTGCTATTTTAAATTAAACTACTTTATTTAAGTTTGAAGATGAATTTTACATGTTTAACTTTTGTTGGTGACTTGTTCAAATCAGCTTGTTAAGACTTTTAAGTTCAAAAGTTTCATTTGTTAACTTTAATAGTCAGAAGAGCACATTAAAAATTTTAGAAAGTTACAAATGAATTTTATATTTTGATTACTGTTTGACTTCTTATTTATGATTTTGTTTTGAAGATTTTAGGCTTGAAGAGTTCAATTTGGTGGCTTAAAAGAAGGAAGTGTGTATTTATATTTTTTGAAAATTACATATATATCTTCAATCACTTAAAAACCAAAACTCACTAAGTTCTCACTATTTTAATGCTTAAGTTTTTAATTTCAGGAATTAAATGTATATTAGTGTATATTTTTAATTTGAAAATTTTAAAAAATGGCTTTTTGTACTTCTCTATTAACGAATTATACTGGAATATTGTGTTTTACAAGTTTCTTAGTTATTTATAATTAGGTTTTAACCAACTTTCCAGTTCCACGTGTTCAAATTGACTATTATGGTAGATTTTTAATGTTTCCAATTTTACCTAATTTCAATTGAATCTTTCCTAAGTCTACTTACTCATTCCACCGAACTTTTGGAACTGTTTTAAACAGTAAATTGAATTATTTTTTAACCAACGACATCAATAAGTACAATCAAAGGATTAT